AATAAAGTTCGTAATAGATATTGTTAATTTAAATACTAGTTTTTATAAAGAAAAATGAAAGCGAAAATATCATCAGCTCCAACATCCAAATCAGAAAGGGTTCTTTCATTAAAAACCGATATAAAAGAACTATAATTAGGTTTTCAATAATTTGCATGCATAATGAACCTTAGGTTCATGTTATACATAAGCAGCAATATATACGTGAGCATAAAGAGAGTCATTCTGTATAGAATTTTGATATGAATTGCAAGACATTCTGCTCATTATTTTTCTGTTCATCATCACTTATCTAATACGAAACGTAAGCAGAAAGTTAGCCATATTCAGAAAAATTGATATATATAGGTACGAAACACTTGTTTAGAACATTCATGTGAAACATGCGAAGGACTATAATGTACATATTTTCTTGCGAAAATTTTCGTTTACATAATGGATCCTTAATTCGTATGTAAATATCGATTTTGTAGTGCAAACTTAGTGATGTAGAAGGCATTTTCTAAAATGTATTTTACGTTGAGAAGCAAAAATAAAGGAAAAGGATTTTTTTAGCTCAGTGATCAGAGCATCCTGCTCTCTACAGCTCAAGAAGCAGCTAATTATATCTGTAGTCAACTCAGAAAATTTACAGAGCTCTCCAATTGAAGTAGAATGAACATAACTCTATCTTCTAGCGTCTTAATATATGGTCTCGAACGAGTCCTGCTCAAAGAAAATAGAAATATACTCTCATCAGGCTGCTTACCTAATTAGAAGGAGTTACAAAAGAAATGTTAATTCAGTTATGTTGGATCCCGTTTATCCGTTGGATCCTGAGTTCGAATCTAATCCGAAGCATGTTTTTCACGCGGCAATAACGAAAGTTGCTCCATCCTCTCTTTTAAGCAAGATATAATGAAATATAATGCATAGGAAATATTCTATGCCAGCGGATCTCAACAATTTGACCATCTAAGCAAAAATTGAAAACCTTTAGTACCACCACTACAATTTACAATTATTATTTTTCAATTTCTCAATAGAAATATTTTTAAAAAATATTTTTTCCATTTGCACAACCTATTCGCTATTTGTATTAAATACGCAGAAATAAAAAATATTAGATTAAAAATTGGCTACCATTTTAATTATCAAAATTTTCATCATAATACATTAATTCTAAAATTTAGTGTGAAATCTGGCCCTGTTTAAGAGAGATTATTATGTCACTTATTTCACTTAGTTTTAACCGTAAATTAAGATCCACTTTTAATCCTGTCCTATATTTATTTTTCAAATATAACATGGAAGAAAATCCTTGTTCAAACATATAAGTTGTGCAGAAAGGCAATAAAAATTTAATAGCTTTATTTGAAAATTCTTTACATTTTATTTTTCAGTTCAGCCAAAAGGTAACCAGTGTGTTATTTTTGAAATCTTCAGTTAGAGTTCGATTACAGGAAACTGCTATCAATTGTTCATTTTCTTGAAATTGATTCCTTACATTTGAAAAAAAAATGGATTTCTAATAAAATTTCAGGTACATTTGAACAAAATGGATTTCTTATAAAATTTTCCTGTTCATAATCCTATGGAAAACGCAAATTGAAATTATTTATCAATGAAAAAATGATTTAATGTCGGATGGTAGTTCTTTTATTTTCAAATTATTTTATATTCAAATTTACATTATTTTATATTCAAATTCCTTTATCTTCTTCGAAACGTATGTAAAATAATAATGGAAAAACGTTCGTTATATCAGTATTTTCATCTAAGTGCAATGCAAAATAATCACTGTGTTTTATTTTTTGAATAAGTGTCTCTTTTATGGAATTTGCCATTTCATAAATCGTCGATTTACTGCTTTTCGTTGAATAATATTAAAATGATATCTTTAGCTGCTGATAATATAAGGGTTTCTTCAATAGTGTGAGCCTGCCCAGTCATTTCAATTCCTAGGCTTACTAACTACCTAGCTTCCAAAGCTCTTTTACTTGAAGTAACAAAAACCTTTCATTACTTGTTTAATATTTTTGAACTCCGATAATTTCCTCTTAAAATATTCTTCGTATTTATCCTTTAAATTGGCATGCATAGATTCCAGATGCCTTTTAAGAAAGGATAATTTCATACTTTGGTTGGATAAAAGTTCACCGGAAACAATATATTTAGTTTGAGGTTTCATTTAACCTCCATTCCAAGTAAACTCAAGTGATAAATAACGTTGATTCTATTTCCTATAAATAATTTTTTTTATATTTATTATTCTTATTAGTGCTAGTAGATTGTTCTGGATCTCTCACCTGTGAATCCTCACTTTTCCGCTCAGTCTTGTCCGTTTATCCATTTTGAAAATCTAGGTTTGTTTCATTATTTTTTCATAAATATTTAAATGCAAAATATAGTACGAGTTCTTCAAGAACAAACGATGATATTCTCAATTCGCGTAGAAAAGTAAGGAAAAACAAAGCAACAAGAAGACGAAATACATGTTGTTATAGACAGCAAATCGAAGTAAAAAAATGAGTGATAATTTAAAGTAGAGCAATATGAGCCCGGAAGTGGTAGCGACATAAAGAGTAGACATGCTAATAAATCAATCAATTCTAAAGGAATTAATGAGGTACTATTATCTTTTTATAGGAACTTATTTTTATCTCCTATTAAATGCAACATCCATTTCTATTACGCCTTTTAAAAATATTATTCATGACATATTTTATTATATCTAGGGCTAAAAGAATATTTGGGAAAATAAAAACGGATTATTCTGCTTAAGTCTACGAGCGCCTATTGACTTAGAATAAAGCTCGGATCGCATAAATTTACGAGTGTTAGAGAAAACCTCAAACAGGATGTTGGGATATTTAATTTTGGAATTTAATAGTTAAAAATAGTTTCTTTGCGTACCATCTATTTTTCTCTTGCGTACCACCGGTTGGGAATCACTGATCTATGAGCTTTGTGTAAATTTGCAAAATTACTTCTTTATTTACAAATATATTTTTATTGTTGTATATGACTGTTGCTTTGTTTGTAAAATTTTAATGGAATTTTCGTACCTTAAAGACATATTAAGTGATACCAAATTAATGACAAATGATGCCTAAAAGTTCAATGTACTTTTTCTTCTTTCCCGCGTTTTAATTCAGTTGCAGTATACTTTCTCATATTCATATCTTTTCCGTTACTAGCCATTTCGAAGAAAAAAAATTGTACTTTAAGGTAAATTAATATTTATGTTGCTGAAAATAATGTTGCTTATGTTGCTGAAAAAAATTCTTTCTCACCTGTAAAATACTTCACGAATATCAGTCTAAAATTCCCTGACGGTTTGAAAATCTTTACTCATGCGTTGGATAAATGTTATAAGCTATGGGATGTTTGTGTCGCGGACAGGTACTTCAGCTGCTATTGAATATTTTTGCGGAAATTTCAAACGCACTTTCAAGCTGTTAATTCTTTACATTTCACTAGTGGACTTTCTACAAGAACAGAAAGCTCTTTAAAGTTACGTTTTTGAACAAAGCACTCTCTAATACCTCAAAAAATTTCCCTTACACGGAAAACACACTTATCATTAACAAATACGAAGCGCACAATAAAACTTGCTCAGTTACAAAACTCAAGATTTTTAGAGAATTGTATCTACTCCATTTGGTTTGGAAAAGAATATAAAATTGTATCACGAGAAAGCTTCTGTTCTCTCTAAAGTAGTTTAAGGAATTTTCTAGTAATAAACAATAAAAAAGACGCTTTTAAAAGCTTCAGTCTCGCATTATTTCTAAAAAGGAAAGGATTAAGTTACTTTTACTGATACAAACTCTCTTTCGAAAGAGATTTACGGAATTCTGTTTTTATTGCTCGAATTTTTTGTTTTCAGTATTCGAAGTAAGCTCTAAGGCAGATGTTTACTAGATATGAATCTGCTTTTGACTGTTAAAAACAAATATCAGTCTCCCATGATGAAAAAATATTTTGTTGATCTTTTCTTTTTCTGAGGAAAGCCGCGTATATGTTGTCAGCCAAAAGTAATAAATTATATTTGAAGACATATTTTACAACTTTTCAAATATTTTATTTAAAATACACTTAGAATACTATATATACTTTTACCTGGGAAGACCTTTATAATGTGTTAATGTATACTGAGAAAAAATATGGTGAGTTTCATTCTAAATTTGAAACTTAACTTTCTCATCTCAAAGAAGAATCAAATGCCTAGATTACGTTAGTCAAGAATGCGCTGAACATGCAACAACAAGTTATAGTTGTAACACGAACGTTTGCATCATCAGTCGTCCTTTCTGTAATTAATCATTTCTGGGCAATGACTTGGCTAATAATTAGTCTTTGCCCAAAATGATCATAAGGTCGTGAATCTGGGAAGATACTCGTATGCTATGAATGTAGCGTCGATGCCATCGATAATGGAAAAGTGGAAACGAACAGTGGGATGCGTGCAAAAAAAAATCATTCGAAATGATTCGCAAGATAGCAAGCAGTATGGGTAAGGAATGTAAGCTCTTGAAACGGCGAGCAGTTTGAGAAAAAAAATGAGTCTGCTTGGCAGTGTTGTGGAAGAAGGAGTTCAGTTTGACTTTTCAATGGCACTGTCCTTCGTTTTATCCATAATAGCGTCATTACGTTATGCAATCATATTTATAGCCTGCTTTTGAGTAATTATGCACATTTCTCAGAAACAAGATATTTAAACACTGAAATAAAATACTTGAACATAATTTTTTACAGGAAAGCTGATAGCCTAAATTACTATTTTTAGCTCCCAAACTGGATGTATTTGAAACTATATTCAGTGAGTCTTAAAAGGCGAATATATTTATTCGGAATAGCAAATATCAAGAATTTTCTGAAATCATTACTATTATGTTTTTACATTTCAAACCAACATTTTTCAATATACAGGGTGAGCCAAATAAGACATAAGACCTACCAATGTTAAACACAAATAACTTTTTTATTTTTTGATATAATTATTTTTTTTCCTTTTGTAGGTTATAATTGAATTCTTGGTAATTTATTATGGCACCTTACAGTACAAAACAGCGCGTTAAAATTATAGAGTTTTTCTATTCTTGTCAATGATCAATTGTTATGACGCAGCGTAAATATCGGCAATATTTTAAATCAAGTGTACTGTTTGGTACCCATATTTCTTCGAGAATGAGGATGGAACACCAGAAATGATTTCCGGAGCTTCTTACAGAACAATGATTGATAACTTTTTGAGGCCGATAGCAGGATAACATCCTTTTTTTCATGGGGATATTTAAAAGACAATGTGTATGTTAATAAACCAGAGACTATTAGACAGCTGAAGCAAAATATTCGAGACGAAATACTAAGCCTTTAACCAGAAAAACTACGTGGTGTGATGGAAAACTCGTTAAAAGAGCCAATCTCTGTATCGAGAAAAAGGTTGGACATTTGTCTGATGTCATATTTTATACATAATTTCCATAAAATATATTTAATGTATAAAAACAATTAATCAAAATAAATGATTATTACAAAAGTTATCCGTGTTTAACATTACGTCTTATTTGGCCCACCCTATACTTATTATTAATAATATTTATAAGTATTTTTATTATTAATTTTATTGCTTGCATTTTATTAGATAAGAATGTGATAGAACTAGACTTGCGTCATGTATGACATTCTCTAAGTTAATTCGATGTCACGGCATATTAATAATAGAAAATCGGAAAGTAATAACTCTAAATTGTTTCTGTCCAGTCCGAAATTGGAAAGAAGATGAACGTTTGCGTACGTATTTCACTTAATTTCAATTTAAAAAATAGATTTCACGTATTGTTTCCTGAACCAAGTATTCATAAAGAGAAACGCGACGATTCAGTGCCATGTTTAATAGCTGTTTTTGGCTATATTTTGTTTAGGTAAAATTTTGCTGATAATTTTGCGTGACTTTCAAATAATTAATTGCATCAAAATTTAATTAAAAGTATTCAAAATTAGACAATTTAATAGGAAATATATATTTTGTTAATGCAAAGTTTCTGACTTTGAATTCAAGTTTTAATAATGTTTCTAATGAAAACAACCATGCAATTAATTTCTGCTTTAAAATTCCTTGCTATCAAAGATTCTGCCATTTCATATGAGAGGCATCCAGTTTATTTCATTAGGCTATCACACACAGAGAACCTTTTTTTTTTTAATTCCAGAAATAAGTTTGGTTTGACCTTTCAGATCTTTACGTTTTGGTTTTCATGAAAATGCAATTTTATGCTTTATACATTTTCTCACCACATTTATGCTTCCATTCCAGACATCTTTAAATAGCGTTTATGTACTCTTATGATTTTTCTTCATTACTTCAAAATAATGTAATTACGTTTTTCAATTACAGCGTAACCTTAAACAAGAATTCTGCTTTTAACTAATATGAGTAAAATGGCTCAGTTAATGAATTTCCTTAATTGCATTTCTCAAGTTTTGGTAAGCAACATCCAGATAATAATAGTTTTTCCGTAGGTTAATTAAAAGTAATTTTACAACATGGGCATTCCTAAGAAAGAAATTGAATATTAAATAAACAAAATAGAATTTTTACTGCCAACGCGTTCGAAAATTAAACTGCGTTATGGGTTTTTAAAAATACGTGCTTTAGAAAAAATTATTGAATCCTATGCAAAAAATAACTATTACATTAAGGAGCAAAGAGTAAAAACCGAAAAGGTGTTTAAATACGATTCAGGAAAATATAACTTCCAAGAGTTTTTTTAAAGCAACGTTTTTTCTTAAAAGCGTTTAGCTAAATAATGGTTTAAATAATAAGTTGATTAAGATAAATAGTTATTTTAAATAACTGAGGTATCCCTTGAGTCTACTGTTTTTTCTGTTATTGATTATACTTTTTCCAACCAAATGTACTGGTTGTTCTGCTCATAAAAACTGTATATAATTAGGTTTCATTGCAATGAAAACGCTGAAATAAATAAATCATGCAGGGATAAGTTAAAAGATGTATTGATTATAATTTATTCTTGCTCTCAAGCAAGCATTTATTTTTCTGCCAAGTAAGCTGAAGGTATTAACTCTACAAATTTTATTATAGAGTTATAGGGGTTATTTTAATTTACTAATAGTTATTTTTAATTTTGAATGACTTTCCTTTACTCTCTTGTTTCTCTCCTACGCTCCACTACCAGAATGAGTTTTCAGGATCACGTGTTATATAAATGAGGTAGAACCAGTATTTAAGGGGTAGTCTCGGTCACTTTCGCAGAAGAACTTAGAAGTTCCTAGCACAGCGTGTTCTGTCTGCAGGCCACGTCATTGCTTTAAGCCAAATTTTACTAATTCCGGCCGTAATGTTATGTGCCCTTTAGTATTCGCCGGTAAGCTTTAAATGAGGGTCAACTCTATTAATCATTCCTGTGCAGCTTCGGCTAAGTTTTTAGTTAGTTAGCATTAGTTTAGATTCTTATTTTCTATCCCAAGTGGAGGCTTGCTGTAAACCTAAGATGGGCCATCTATAAATATTCACAAGTTAAATAAAAGGGTAATTTTAACCCTTTTTGGAGTTGCTACTCTAGCCTTTTGAAGTCATCAGATAGTCTCTCCACATTTCTGAAGTATTTTAGTTGACTAAGAAAGCCAAATTTAACTAGAATATTATATTGGTGCCCGAACAATTTTAAGAATCATGTTCTCTAGAGTCCGGAAAGTTCACATTGGCCGCTCCTAGACTGCAAAATTCACCGGTACCAGCGAATCCGATGGAAGGGTTCAGATCCGTCATGGGGACCATGTAGGCTGCAATAAAGCCAGCTACTACTATCTTCAACTTCATTTTTCGTAAATTCAACTATTCAACTTTTTGTATGAAAAGAAGTCAAGCGTCAAGTTAAGAGAGGTAATTTTATCGCCTCTGCTTCCCCCCCTCCAGGATTTCATGGAAGTGAGAAATCCAAATACGCTTGAAAGCCTATTTCAACTCCCCGTGGAATTAGAAAGCTGGCAAGCCTCGGAGAAAACGCATACGGCAAATTTTGGCCAAAGGCACTGCTCGAGATTACTAACAAAAACCTCAGAATAGGCAGTATCTTTATAGGCAGGCTGATACGACCGCGAAATGCGGTAGCAAAAATAGGGTACAAAAATAAAAGCATTTGGCGATAGCCCTAAAAGAATCAACCAGAAAAACAAGGGGCTGAGAAGCAAGGTAATTTAAACTAATAACGGTGTCGGAGGAGAGTGTCCGGTCACCCGCACTGAAGCAAAAATCTCTCAGTATTTAAACCAAATCCTGTCATTGCGCAAAATTTGGCTTTGCCTTTGGTCGACATTTTATGCACAACAGGCGCGAACTTAAATTTTAAGAGTTCTACTTTGCAGGTGCAAATGGACGCTGTGCATGAGGAGGTGAGCTCAACGCCTGAAATTCATTTGAATCACCTACCGGAAAATAAAAAAAAAGAAAATTCAAGTGGATGGTAAGAAATTTTTAAAAAATATTTGATGCTAAGCCGGGTTTCTGCCGGCTCATTACGCATGCAGTCTGCGCGAGAAATGCCGCCCCCGTAAGGACTAAGCCCTATAGGTTTGATAAAGTAAAAAAGCAGATAGTTGAAGAATACATTAAGAAATGTTTAACCCCCAAAAAAATTATTATCTCGACTATTAGCCCTTACGCAACTCCACTAGTCATATACCGAAAGAAAAAGACCCTTCCACCTTCAGTGCCGAAACCATGGCGATTTTCCTTTGATTATTACTGCAAATCAAATAGTATTACAAAATACCCAGTGTATCCCCTGCCAGTTATAGATGAAATTATTCAAAAAATCAAATCTATGAATTACATAACTACCCTGGACTTGACGTCAGGGCTATTTTCAGATAGGAGTAAAGGCTGAAGACGTTGAAAAAACTGCCTTCATTACGAAATCAGGCGTATATGCCATTTTGAGAATTCCGTCTGGCTTATGTAGAACTCCAGCAACATTTAAGAGAATGATGGATGCAATTTTAAGACCCGTCTTAAACTAAAGTACTTTTGTATATCTCGAATATATCATTATAACCAGTGAAACTATTGACAAACATGTTAAACATTCAGAACCTTTCTGCTTAATAAATCAAGCTGGCCTCAAAGTTAATGCCTCAAAACGTAAATTTGGAGCTAAAGAACTACGATACCTTGGATATGAAATTTTAAAAAAAGGCATAGAGACATAAAATTCTAAAATTTTAGCAATTAAAATCTATCCGCTTCTCAATACTGCGAAAACACTGGCATCATTTTTGGACATGTGCCCCCTCCTATTACCGTTCATTCATAAAAGACTTTGCAAAGACAGTTGAACCTCTACTGGTTACAAAACGAAACAAATGAACAGATATACATGCTCTGAAGAAGCGAACGAGGCGTTTGAGCAGCTGAAGCAAGCATTGATTAGTGCTCCAGTATTGAAACTCCCGGAAGCGGACCAAAATTTATAAATCGCTGCTGATGCTTCCGACTATGGAGTTGGCGCCGTGCTTTCGCAAAACTGTCAGCCAATAGCCTATTTTAGTGAAATTACAGAGCAACTGAAATGGAAGCTCTCGTCGTTCGTTTAGCAAATCAAAAATTCCGAGTATAATTCGGAAGCGCCGCAGTGACGGTTTATTCAGCCTATGCTGCAGTTGGTCATTTTTCTGGCAAATTCTATGGCTGCGGTTTATAATACGGACTCTTATGTTACAAGAATATAACCTCATTATTAAGCACACGCCAGGAATGAGAATGTTGTTGCAGATGCACTGTCTAGAATTAAGATAGGTGAGAAGGGAAACATCGTTAAATGTGCCATGTTAACTTCAAAAATAATTGTGAGACACTATTAGTACAGAACTATACACCGCGAAGATGACATCCTTCCTAGTTTTTGCCGTACGGAATTGAACGTCATTTCTGCGGAAATCAGTTACATTGGCATACAAGGCCTGTTGTTCAGTACATATTATTTTCTTTTGTTGCAAGATATTTTGAAAAGCACAGTATTACATATGAACACTCTTATAACATAAATCAATACTATAT